CTCACGGGGCTGCCTGGGGCCGGTCCTTCGCGCTCCCCTGAGGGGTTTTGCTCCTGCTCCACAGCTGGAGTCGTGGGTGGTGTCCGCCCTGTATGCGTGTAGGCTGTGTTTGCTTATCTCCCTCATTGTCTGGGACCAAAGAGCATTCATGGGTCTTTCTCTTTTTAATGGTCTGCATGAAAGTGTCCATTGAGAATGGAATTCCCGCTTCTATTGAGCAGGGGATCCAGGGGCCAAAGGCAATTCGTTTGTAGAGGAGGAAGGTAGCTAGGACAGAGGTTGGAAAAGGAATTTATGATCAAAAAGTGTGCGTTATAATACTTTTCCTGTTGGTTTTGGTTATCCTGCACCCCAATAAAAAGTGTTTTTTCACCTCATACCGTGCATTCCACAGGAACAGCTGTTTTGTACTTTTGTTATGGCAAGGACAGCGTCTGTTGGCGACTTGCTTCCCAAGCAGCTGATGTAATTCCAAGAGAGCAAAGCTGTGGATAACTTTCCTGGTTTATCTCCTCCAGTCTTTGAGTTAAGAGGCAAAAAAGCTCTAACAGAAGTATACTAAGTAATTTATTTTGCTGTTAGTGTGATATTTTTGTTAATATTGAATGGAAACTGCCTTAGTTTATACTCTTTTTCAAACTTAGATTCTTGGTCTTTGTTCCTGTCCATCTACAGGATACTGAGGGGTGTGTGTGTGTGAAAGGTGCCTGATAACTAACTGGGAAAAGCAAAACAACTGCCAGTCATGAATTGGCTTTGCAGAACTCTGGTCTTCATCCGGAATATTTATAAGACATTTGCAAACGGAAAAAGTCTTGAAATAAAACACTGATTTGGCTTCCAGAACATTTAAGTTATTCACGCTGTTTCTATAAAATTTGGCCAGAGTGCTACCAGTTCCAATTGTGTGTTCATTGCATTGTGTTTGTAGGGTATCCATTCTGCATTTAACTGTGACTGCAATTTGCTTCCTAATTTAGCTTTATTTACAGTTGGGTATTACAGGGAAGATGCTTAGATGTTAGCTTAACTTTTTTTTTATGATTCTGGTCATAGTTTGAGTTTTACAATAGTAGTCCTAAATCTCAAAGCAAGAACACCTGTGCTTTTGAATATTTTCTTCCTGTTCTTACTGCCTGCTTGCAGCCAAGCTTAAGAACCTTGGGAACAGAGGAGGATGGAGAGCTTCGAAACCCAGCATGAATGTGTTTTTCTGTGATACTGGGTTAAGTTAGATAGTGAAGTGTGGGCAAATTGCATGTTTTTGATTTCTGAGGGCTACGTCTCATCCCTCCCCCAGTATTTTGTTCAAAATAGTTACTTGTTGAACCACTGTGAACAGGTACACAACCAGCTAAGATGTAGGAAGGGACATTTAAAAAAAAAAATTAGAATTTTATATCTAGATAAAATTTACATGCATTTATACGAGGTAAAGATAACGTAAATGTTTTTTCTTGACTGGTGACTAAATAAAGACACATTTAAAAAATACTGTAAAAAGAAAACATTCTTATCTGCAGTACATTGCTGTGCCTTGACATGTCAGTGTGTTTTAGCTGAAGAATCCTGCTTTATTTATTCACCATAATAAACAGAAATCAGAGCCACGGTGTTATCTTCGGCCTCTGAATTATCAAATCTCTTGTGAAACTGGAAGCTAACTTCTAATTTCAGTTAAATTATCGGTATGCCTTTGTTTATAGTTATTGGACTTTCTGTAGCAGCGTTACTGGTTTAAACTTTTACAGTTAAGAAATCAGTATGATTTAACCCTGTGTCGTTTTACAGAATTAAATTATAAAATATTTCTTAGAAACTTTTTCGAAGAGGTGGACCCTTTTTTATTCATTTGATTCTATAGAACAGATCAGAGGTCTGTCACGATTAAATACCAGCTGTTGTCGGGTTTTGTGCTTGTACTGTGTAAAAACAAGTAATAACAAGGTATTTGTGTAAATGTCAGATCTATTGAGCACCACAATTTTTGCATGAATAATAAAACTAGCTTAGATTGGGAAAACAGTCGGTTTGTGAGAACAGATAGATGGACCCTCTCAAGAACTAGTTTTAATGCTAGCTGCTTAAATTAGTGTGCTTTTGAGTTCCTTCAGTACTTCATGTGCACCTTAGAGACTGGCATCACAGACTAAGCAAAAGGCAGGCTACATGGAAGTAGTCTATGTAATTGTTCCAGTCCTTGCTATTTTCTTCCTGAAATAGATACACTAGTCTTCAACAATAATTGTGTTATGATCTCTCTTATTTCTCGGCTATTTTGGCAACACATGCTAACACTAGTTACATTATTTTAACTAGTAGGCAACATTGCATTGAAATGCAGAATTGAAATCATGAGGCCCTAATAATACTTTAAGCCACATCTAAGATTTAAGATCAGGAGGTTTTTTCTGTAGCTGAGGTTGGATTTTGCTATTTATTAATGATTTATTAGAAAGGAGGGTGATGGAACTTCTAAACTTGACCTTATTGGTTGGTTTTATAATATTTTCAACCCACATAGGAAAAAAAACCCAAAACATTAAAATGTCAAAAGTCATAAGTATGGAATTTTTTAATTAGAAATTTTGTGATCAAAATGCTTGCTTGTCTTAGTCATGGCGCTTCATGATGGGGGAAAAAAGCTATCTCTTTGCATCATATGTGGAATGATCTTCTTCCAGTAAGTGATAAACTTGAAAATTATGTTAAGGACGTTGGGATTGGATTTTAAGACAGGAAGATTTTCATCTACCTCATTTGCTCTGAGAACTCTTGAAGAGGGAGAGGGTCTGTGTACATGCACGCTTAAAAGGAGGGAGAAAGTTTTTGCTGTAAGATCAATCTGCTTTACAGGTGGAGTGTCTCCTAGTTGCAGTACATTCTGCACCATATTGGCCATTGCAAGTTCAACTGTGTTCTTGTCATTTTGACAAGAAAAGTAAAAAAAGGTAAAGGGCTGTCAAACTTCATACTTGCCAAACTTGTAATGAAGTGTGTTTTTCTAACTTTAAGTATAGCTGTAGTAATTGAGTTGTTAACATGACTATTTCAAATTGCACTGGAAAAGACTGTGGAGAAGACTTGCTTTTCTTTCACAGTTATGTGTGTTCTTTTGTGGGGAGATCTGGAGAAAGCACTCTGTAGATGTTGAAGAAAATTTCAAACTGCAGACACCCTTAAGGTATTAGAAGATACTGTATGAAATATTACCTTACGTTCATATAATGTATGAAATAGTATGTTACATTTCTTACAGTGTTACAAGTGTAATTTTTTTCCTCTGTCCCTTCTGAAATGTTTTTTTTTCTCATGCAGCAGTCTTACAGGTAGCTCTGCTGTGGGATTTTTGTATCAAGGATTTTGTATAGCTGGTCTTATTTCAAGAAGCTGTTACTTAGGAAAGCTCTTTATCATTAGGTTGAATTTGTACAAACGGTATGAGCAGTCCTATTAAGTAAAGGTAACAACCTTTTTTTTTTTTCCCAAATGAATAGATAGATTGGGTGCTGTATAACTGAGTGTTTTGGGGTTTTTCTTGCTATAATACAACTAATACTTGAATATGAATGTTTAGAGTTCATAATATTAACTGTTGTTCTGATTTTAGGTAAACATTACCAAATGAGGAGAAAAGGAAGATGTCATCGAGTATCGGCAGCAAGGCATTCTTCTTCCCCATGCAGTATTAAGCACTCCCCCACACGAGAAACCTTGACATACGCTCAGGCTCAAAGAATGGTTGAAATAGAAATTGAAGGTCGCTTGCATAGGATCAGTATCTTTGATCCTTTAGAGATTATATTAGAAGATGATCTTACAGCCCAGGAAATGAGTGAATGCAACAGCAATAAAGAAAATAGTGAAAGACCACCAGTTTGTCTAAGAAGCAAACGGCATAAAAATAACAAAGTGAAAAAGAAAAATGAAGCTCTTCCGAGCTCACACGGTATACCTGCTACAACGACTCCTCTTCCAGAACCAAAAGTACGGATTGTTGAATACAGTCCCCCTTCGGCTCCTCGGAGACCTCCAGTTTATTACAAATTTATTGAGAAGTCAGCAGAAGAACTTGATAATGAAGTTGAGTATGACATGGATGAAGAAGATTATGCATGGTTAGAAATAATAAATGAGAAACGGAAAAGTGATGGAGTGTCAGTTGTCTCACAAAATATGTTTGAATTCCTTATGGATAGGTTTGAGAAAGAGTCTTATTGTGAGAACCAAAAACAGGGTGATCATCAATCTTTAATTGATGAAGATGCAGTGTGTTGTATATGCATGGATGGTGAATGTCAGAACAGCAATGTAATCCTGTTTTGTGATATGTGTAATTTAGCAGTACATCAGGAATGCTATGGGGTGCCATATATACCTGAGGGCCAGTGGCTCTGCAGACACTGCCTGCAGTCCCGTTCTCGGCCTGTAGACTGTGTGCTGTGCCCAAACAAGGGAGGTGCCTTTAAAAAGACTGATGATGATCGTTGGGGACACGTTGTGTGTGCTTTGTGGATTCCAGAAGTTGGATTTGCCAATACGGTTTTTATTGAGCCAATTGATGGTGTCAGGAACATTCCCCCAGCCAGATGGAAGTTAACATGCTACCTCTGTAAACAGAAAGGTGTTGGTGCCTGCATCCAGTGCCACAAAGCAAACTGCTATACTGCATTCCATGTGACATGTGCTCAAAAGGCCGGTCTATATATGAAAATGGAACCTGTGAAAGAACTAACTGGCAGTGGGACAACATTCTCTGTAAAAAAGACTGCCTATTGTGATGTACATACTCCACCAGGTTGCACACGGAGACCTCTAAATATTTATGGAGAAGCTGAAATCAAAAACGGTGTTTGTAGAAAGGAAGGATCAGTCAGAACTGCTAGGTCTACATCAAAAGTCAGAAAAAAGACAAAAAAAGCCAAGAAAACAGTGGTTGAACCCTGTACAGTTATGCCAACAGTATCTGCTCCTTATATCCCCCCCCAGAGGTAAGCAAACCAACTGAGAGAAACCTTACTTAGTTACCTGTTTCATTTTAAACCAGTGCTTCTAGATGCCAACTTGAAGTTTATCAGCATTTCTTAGATGCTTTTTTTCAGGCCATATTCATAGGATTAATGTAAATTATGTACATTGTACTTTTGTGAAATTACATTAAAAATGCAAGAACTTCCCCAGAGAAATTAGTAGTCTGTGGTCAAGTGGTCTGTCTTGTCCTCAGAAACTTGTTTTTTGTCAGACCAAATCTTGTTGTGTGTTCAGTTGTTGCCATCCACTGTTTGAGAATTAACCACCGAATTCAGAGTAGCATATGTAGTTTACCTTCCTATTTAAAATAAACAGCAGCCAAGTGCAAGGTTAACTGTATTCATAATTTGGGAATCTGAACTTTTTGTCCTAATTTTAAGAGCCTAAAAATGAAAATTAATTACTTTTATATAAAAGATTTGAATCTTGTTAATCTTCGTTAAATATAAACTTGTATTGTAAGATCTATGTAAGTAGTACAAAAAAAGCCCATCCAGAAGTATTTTCCTTGTGGGGCTGAGTAAGGCCTTTTCAGGAGTTTTTTCCTAAATTTGCATTTTTCCTTTTGCAAATGCAATAGTGTTTATCAAGGCTTGGATTAATTTGGTAACTTGCAGACTTTTTTTAGACAAGTTAGCAAGTAAGTGATGGTAAGTTAGCTGGCTAATGTATTCTTAGCCATGGAACCTGAAATCAGTGTCCTTCTTTTCCGTGATGCTATCAAATATCTGTCCTATAACTTCAGTAAAATGTTTATGTTTGTCACATGCATTAATTCATTTTTGTTGAAAGAGTTATAATCTTGTCTTTGCTTACAAATTTATACTTCGTAAGTTCTGTTTAAACTGGTTTTTATATTACTGTGTCTTTTGCAGTTCCTGAAGGAATTTTTGTTATGTCAGTGCAAGTATAAAGTATGAGCACCAGAACTGAAATTGTGCTTTACATTTAATGTGCCATATTGTATTTTAACAGTGGTGATCGGGGGCCTGGCAGATGGCTCTAGATCTGGTGAGGCTAGTGAAGTGATGCATTGGAAAGCAGGGATGTTTCAAGTGATGTTTTCATAAGGAATGATAGAACTGGAGCAAATGAAGAATTTTAGTATCTTTCAGGAGTTCAAAAAACTCACCATGAACTTCAGTTAGCTTAGCTGTATCTTAACTTAATAGAACAGTAGCATCTCTTCTCAGATTTCTTTTAGTTAATCTGAGTTATGCATTTCAACAGTGGAATTTTTTTTTTTTCTGGGATTTGAGTAATTACCAAGTTCTGTGGTAAACAGTTTTTTTTTGTCTTTGAACATTTGAGACAAAATATACTGGGCTGAGAAATCAAAAATTGGACTGTTGGGACTGAAGCCAAGTTTACAGCCTATTTGTTTTGTTTCTAGCACTTACAACATCAATATGTTTGTTTACCCTTTGATTTAAATTATTACTGATTTAAGAACCAGTGGTTCAGAAAGCTTCATGAAACAGGCACCACTTCCATGTGCAGGTTCATTGTATTGTGACAGGACTCTGAATGCTCAGGCAGTGAGGGCTCTTAAAATAATACAAGTAAACCATGCTGAGACTCAAGTCTCAGGTAGTGGACAATTAAGGCTGGTTAAATTAATCTAAATAAATACATGTTTTGAGACTGCAGTCCTTTCCCATAGTAAGGTTTGTAATGTAAGTAGGTACTTTTTGACTGACTTTGACAAAGAGCCTTTAGCTCCTTAGTGATGTTTACAAACATCAGATTGATTGCACTGTTCTCTGTGATGTAAAAGAGCATTTTTGTTTAGTGATGCAATGCAGAAGAGCTTAAGTTGACAGTAAGCAACTAATACTGTTATTTGAACAGGTACTGTTGTCTGTGGGAGTGGGGACTTCATATAAAAGAATTTGGCTTTGTCTTAATTAGGACAGTCCTGATTGGTGGTGTAGTGTGTTCTTGTTTTGTTTAAAACAAAATAAGAAATAACATGAACTAAGTGAGAGTTGAGGATTAGAATCTATGTTCTCAATTGTGCCTCTGGCAATTCTTTCCATTGGTAAGTTCCATAAAAGCTACACTGTAAAAAGGGTATTATCATCAGATTTTTTTTTTTTTTTTAATAGTGTCATTAGATGCCAGGAACAGAAATAAATATACTTTTTTATTTTATATATGTATAATGATTAAATTTCTTTTCAGGACTGCAGAGAGATTCGGCTTTCTTTTATTTATGCTCTGTTTTCATGTTACTGGACACAAGTATAGTTCCTATATTCTGTGTCAGAAGTGTAAAAAAATGGGTAGAGTTTAAAACTATTTTGAAGTTGAGCTTCATTATAAATTGCTTTTCAGCTGAAGGAGACTTGCTGAAGTACTCTTTGTAATGTGGATGTGTTTAATCCTGGAAAACTGATACCTGAATTAAAAGCAAACCAGAAATAGCATATTAAAAAGTGGTTACGCTGCAGACCCAAATCTCCCTTGTCTAATTTTCTGTGGCTATTTGTCTTTTTCCTTTTTTTTTTTTCCTTTAGAAAAACTCTTCTCTGTGTGTGGGAGTTAAATGCATACCCCTAAACTAATACCTGAAAGACGTGGATCACTTCATAGCAGTCTTTAAATGATCCCTTTTCTTTTTTTTTTTTTTTTTTTTTTCCCCTCCTGAAGCTTTTCTGTTGTTGTCAAAAGAAGGAATGTGATAATTTGGAAGGTTCACAGAAAGCATGTTTTGTGATTATTGTTCTTGTGATCTGTCCAATGTAAACTGCTTTAGAAAAGCTCTGTTCCAGCCACTTTAATTCACTTTTGCAGAATACTGGATTTGCAGTTGGCTAAAGACAAGGGCTTTTCTTTTAATGGGTATTCTGAGAGGAATGCAGTTTAACCATTCAGTTTCTATCCTGGCTTTTAGGTCTGCCTAATGGTGCCTGGGGGAG